CCCGCATGTGGTGGCAGTCCTACTGTAGCGCCCTCATGTGGTGGCAGTCCTACTGCAGCGCCCTCATGTGGTGGCAGTCCTACTGCAGCGCCCTCATGTGGCGTCGGTCCTACTGCAGCGCCCTCATGTGGTGGCAGTCCTACTGTAGCGCCCTCATGTGGTGGCAGTCCTACTGCAGCGCCCTCATGTGGTGGCAGTCCTACTGCAGCGCCCTCATGTGGCGTCGGTCCTACTGCAGCGCCCTCATGTGGCGTCAGTTCTACTGCAGCGCCCTCATGTGGCGTCGGTTCTACTGCAGCGCCCTCGTGTGGCATCAGTTCTACTGCAACGCCCCTCGTGTGCATCGATGCTACAGTGGCGCCCTCACACGACGGTCTCGCTGCCGCTGCTCTTGTTTCGCTTTGCGTCGACGACGGCGATGACGGTGCGGTAGTGCACCGGGGGGCGCTGCTGATGCGCCGCGGCGCCGGCGCGCTCGAAGTCGCGCCCGACCCCCGGCGCCCTCTTCTTGCCGAAGCGGTGCAGCGTGAGACGGTCCGCCAGCTGGCGCCACGCGTCGATCGTCCGCCGCGACCACACCCAGACGCCGGACGTCAGGCCGACGACGAGACACATGAACGTCTTCAGCATGAACATCTCGACGTTGGGCACGGCCGCCGCCACGCCGCCGGCGGCGCCCCCTAGCGGCGCCGTCCACGCGTCGCGGTTCACGTACTCGTAGAGGTGGCACGCGACGACGCACGCGGCCGGGATCGGGTACAGCATCGCGAACACCGCGACGCGCACCAGTCGCGCGTCCAGCTTCTCGCCGCGGCGGCGCCCCCTGGCGGCCGCCACCACGCCCGCGGCGAGCAGCGCCGCGCCGATCGCGAGGTAGGCGACGAGCGGCGCGAGGACGAAGCCGAGCAGCGAGCCGCGCGATTGGTTGCCGACGTGGCAGAGGCCCGTTAGTTCGTCGCCGTCGACATCGCGCAGAACGAGGATGACGATGGTCTTGACGGCGGCGACGCCCCAGGCCGCGAGGTGGAAGTAGCTGGAGTGGCGCGCCACGGCTTCGTGCGGCCACCGCAGCCCCGCCGCCAGAAACCACGTCAGCGCCAGCATCACCCACCAGAGCGCGCCGGCCATGCCGAAGTAGTAGAGCAGGAGAAAGACGACGGCGCATTTCGTGTTCTCGAGGCCCTCCTGGATGAGGATCGGCCCGCCGTCGGAGGGCGCCACGCGCGCGTCGCAGGCGACGGCGGCGTGACCGGCGCGCAGGCGGATGAAGTAGCCGACGCAGTAGAGCATGTAGCAGAGCGCCATGGCGACGATGGGGCGCTCCGGGTAGCGGAATCGCGACGCGTCGAGCGAGAAGGTCGCGACGGTGAAGAGGGATGAGAGGAAGCAGAGAGAAGCCCAGATGGTCATCCAGACGCGAGCAAACTCGACGTCGCTGCGACGGAAGACGACCGGCTGTCCGCACTTCTGCGCGCAGTGACTGCTGCGCCCTCTGCCGGTGCGGTTGATGACGACGTACCTGGAAGAGCGGGAGAAAGATAAGGTGATGTAGGTCGCGAGTTGTGGTAGAGGTCGCGAGTTGTGGTAGAGAGAGAGAGAGAAAGAGAGATAGAGAGAGAGAGAGAGAAAGAGAAAGAGAGAGAGAGAGAGAGAGTGAGAGAGGAGAGAGAGAGAGAGTAGAGAGAGAGAGAGAGAGAGAGAGAGAGAGAGAGAGAG